TGTTTTGATACAGGTATTAGAGAATCCAGACTCCAGTGTGGCTACAATGGAAGTGGTCAGTTCACATATTTTTCATAAACACCACCAGTGAATTTCCCCTCTCTACCACCTAAGGGACCATTCAGATCCTAAATGCCAGAGGAAACTATGGCCATTTAACACACTTTGAACAATAGAAATACAGTAAAATCAGAAAAAATCTCAGTTATCATAACTAACCCCACTGCAAAATCAGGGCTCAGGCACATATGGCACCTAGACAACTCAAGAATTGGAGAATGCTATCCTGGAGACTGTTGCCTTTATCCAGGGAGAGCAACTGAGCAGCCCAAAACTTGTGACACTGCTGGGTAATTAGTCTGTGATTTCTGACTTCAGAAGTCAAATGCTCCCCTCACCAACCTTCCTCTCCCAGAAGAACCTCGCAGAATTAGCTTTTATTTCTTTTTGTGTTACCAGTTAAGAATTGCATAAGCAAGTAGAAAGAGAAGGGTGTTCATGTCTAGTGTTCCAAACAACCCTGTGGATTTTAAAAGGCCAGAGGAAAATCCTCTGGGTGCACAGATGAGGTGGGCTGCAAGACAATTAAAAACCAAGCAATTTTTAAATAAGGCTAGTGTGCTGGAAAGCACCAACTCTCCCTGGATATGAAATAATGTCCATTTCTGTTCACTGTCTTTTCATATCATATTCAGGAACACAAAAGCAAAGGTGTGTATCAGCTATTCAGTTGTTGTCAGGTTTTGTTTTTTTGCTAGTTCACTTTTCTTTCATATGAACCTGGCTTTATTTAAGGGTGAGATTTTCACAATGTGGAGTACTGGTCTGTTTCATGTAAAGTGCATGGTAAACCACTCATTGATTTCCATGAATATAAAGTAAATGCTGACTCTTGAGAAGATTACCCTTAGGAAAAAAAGGCAAAACCAGCCAAACAAATAGAAATCTAAAATAATCATTGAGTGTCAGTATGTATCCAATGCTTATGGGTGGTTTTCTTCTCTCACCATAAATTTTTCATTTCCTATCAGGTGAATCTTTTAGTTTTTCCTTGATTTATATTATGCTTGACTAACAGACGTAGTTACAAATTGTACAGATATAAAAGTCTAAATGTCTAAGAGGGGAATGGGATTGCCACAGATATTATTGTTACCTTTTCAATACATACTGGTACACACATATCCATAAGATTACAATCTGCCAGTAACATGTAGTAAATTCACTTCAAACTGTTGCTTCGTGTGTATTTAGTCTAAAATCTACTAGAGATTTTAAAAAAAGGGAGGCTTGTCGTGGTAAAGAAAGGAGACTACTTGGGATTACTGATTGAATGATTTGGATCTTGGGATGACAAAGTCAAAAAAATTGGATCATCTGAGGTTACACAGAGGCTGAAAGCAAAAAAATCAGCTTGAAGTCTATGGACATGTGCGTGCTTCCAAGGACTATGGATCTTCTGACTAAAACAGAGGGGAAAAGGTTAGGGCACCTGTTTTTATTCTTCCTCAATTGCCATTTTATGTGCTGCGTGGCCTGCTACACTTCTGTGTCCCAATCTCCAAATCCTTAAATAGAAATTGTTAATTTGTACACAAACACCAATGCCTTGAGATGGTGTGGTGCATTTTGCTGAAGTTCTTCTGCCATTGGCTGAAGAGACTGGTAGTTTTCATGTAAAATGTAATGGCACTACTGCTGTCCTGAAACCAAAGGAAGTTTATATTTTCCTGTAGTCACTTTTCAAAATATTTACTTCTGCTCTACAAGGCTGCCTTACGCAGCACGTAAATTTTGAAATTAGGTATACTAAGAGGTAAGTCTCCTGATTATATTTACACCATTAACCAGATTTAATCGTGCCTTATACACTGAGTAGACACTTTGACCTTCAAGAGATTCCAATCAAGACAGAATTTGTCTCAGAACCTTTCTCTGCCGAAGTTTTCCACAATCTTGCTCATGTGTTTTACAGTAATACTTTCTTTTTTCTCTGTTCATTAACTATTAAAATAAAATATTCACATGACAGATTTTTGCCTCAGTTTTCCCACAGCAATCATATTTCCTCACCCAAGAGGATGTCAGGAAGCTTCATTAATTGTTTCTGAAACATTTACAACTTTTCATGGAAAAGGTAAAGCATCTGTCTCCTAAAGGAGAAAAATCATTTCCAAATGGATGAAGCTCCCCTCTGAAGCACACGTATTTTAATTCTTCACTCCGAGATAAAGAATTCAAGACACAGACATTACAATCAGTTTGTCAAGTTCATGCGTATTATCTGAAGACCAGAGCTTGTGTCTTTTTCCCCCTAACTCCTCTTTAATCTCAGAACAGAGTTTCTTTGTTGAAGTAGCTCTGCAGATGGTGACAGGCAAGAGGTTATATGAATTAAGCAAGTCATCCCACAAGTAACAGCATCAGTGAGTTGGTTTCCTTTAGATTTGGGTTCTCTTCCTCTGTGACATCCTGGCCATGATACCCCTAGTCTTCCCAGTTACAAAAGCCCTCTCCCACCTCTTCCTCCCACGCTCTTCCACTCTTCACCCTGGCCAACACTCTCAGCTCTTCCAGCTCCCCCTTCCACACTGAAGGGCTGGCACCCAGCAAGTGCTCGGGAGGAGGAAACACCAGAACTGTCTGGGAAAGACGACTGGCCCAGCTGAGAGGACACGCCTCACACTGGGCTCTGGAGTGCACACTGCAGCCTCTCTCGCAGGCAGGAGTAATTGCTGCCTCTGCCTCATTTATGGTTTCATAGGAAAACCTGTAGGAATTGGGCAGCTTCTCCATTTCTGACAAGCTTGCTTAAAACTAGACAGTTTTAAGCTGATAAAGGAGGAGGAGGAGGGTGGTCTAGAAATGAGGGATTTTCTCATATCAGTAACTTAGGAGCGCAAACACCTCTGTCATCTTTACTTGTATTCTTCTGGATTCATGGATTGGTGTAACAAGTTTTTTCAGGCCACAATGGCTAGCCCATGAGAAATACAAAGTCTACTTAAAGTACAAAGAAATTACCAGCTGGCAGCATTTTGCTTGAGCTCATCTTACATGAGAGTTTTTTTAGAATTTCTTTTAAAAGCTGAATTAGAAGAATAGAAACTAAAAAACAACAAAAAAGAAGATTTCTGAACAAAAAAACTAATGTAAAAGCATCAGCAGTTGATGCAAATAGAGAAACACACTAAAGAAAGAAAAACAAAAATAAAACCCTTGAACTTCGTATCACCAGGGATACACCATCATAGATGCCTACCACAAATTTAGAGGCTGTATTGTCCCCTTCAGAGGGTAAATTTACTTTCTTTCATTCTACACCATTAGAACCGTAGCAGTATTTTAACACTAGGTGAAACTAGTAATATAAAAATGATAAGTTGGAAATGCATTGAAATAGTTCTCTGCTGCAAACTAGAAAAATGGGAATTGAAGATGGAAAAGATTAGGGATATCTCAGGATTAGGGAAAGAAAAAAAAATATGTCAGAAAGCTATGCCTTCAGGATAGGAAGCCACTGGGAGTTTGGGGAAGATTTTGAGCCACTGTATGCTGAGAACTTGAATTAATGTACTAAGCCTCTGTAATGATCAACTCCAGTGAACATTCCCAGTCTGAGATCCACTGAAGGAATGATTAGCACTGAGTTACAGATCTGAAAGCAAGAGGGCATCAACTTCAACATGCAAACCAGATGAGTCCCATGGGAAATACAGATCTACTGGGTTTCACTCGGTCACACTGGGATCTCCTCATCCTACCACAGCCCTGCACCACCTGTGCAGCACAGCACCACCTGTGCAGGATCCCTGGTGCCCCTGGGCTGGGGAGGAGCCGTGGCCCTGCACTGCAGGACAGCTGTGCTGCCCAAAGACCCCCACATTCCAAGTCCTTGCAGTCCTCTGCTCCCATGGGGCTTGTCCGATGCAGACTCCTTGGCTAACCTGGGTCACGATCCAGAGAAAGAATATTCTCCTGACCCCTTTGCAATGTGACCCTGATGCACAGTGCTCATGTGCTGGGTCTGAAAGCAAACAGTACATTTGGGGAGCCTTGGATTTATTTCAAAACAGATGAAGTCCTTTTCCAAAAGAAACAGGAACATTAGAGTCCTTGTAACGAGAACAGTGCTACATGGGTTTCAGACTGATCAAGCCAAAGCAGTCTTCAAGGCAATCCTTTGTCACAAACAAGTAATATTTTCACTCCACGCCCCGCAGCAGACCCCTGTGATATATTTTATTTCCTTTGCAAGTGGCATCAAATCATTTTCCAAAGTCAAATACATCTACCTTCCTTGCTTCTCTCTCGGGACTCTTTGAAGGAGAAGGAAAACATCAAGACTAGACTGTGTTGTGGGACTAAACATGTCAGGAGAGAAACAACAAGAGAAAACAATTACAGGCATGATGCATAATACAAAATAAATTGGGAAAAGTGTGAGAAAAAGAAAAAGCAAAGCCAAATCATCTGAGCCATAGCTGAATAGAGCATAAATCCCCCCTACGATTTTCCCACTCACCATCCCATGCCTTAGGATTCTGCTGTACTCTGTTTCACTACTGTCTATCATTTGCACACATAAAACCAGTGTTGCTTTGAGATACTCAGCTTGATCATAAAAAGCCTTCCTACCCTCAACACCTGTCCTCCTGCCAGCACATAAATCCCAGGTATATCTGCCATGCAGTATCACCTCTCCACAATACTTCTGTACCCCTGCACATTTTATACATCTCACTGCAAACATCATTTTCTGAGGACTGACTCACACCACAACTTCCTTTATTTCTAAAATGACAAGATAATCTGCCCTTTCTAGAAGCATCCATTTTGTCTGATTTCTATTCTTCCTGGAATTTCATGATGTCACATCAATTCATCACAGGAGAGTAGGTGAACTGGTGTGAGGGGGAAGATCATCATCATGGAAATACCTTCACAAAAGGATGCCATCACTGCCTTACATTTATTTATGTTTCAGATGTCATCAGAGTTTTGAATGGCAGCTGTCATTCTACGTCTGATATGTCCCTATGTGATGTTTGTGGCATTTCTCTGCATTTCCTGCATCATTTATGCAATATGCTAAGTACAATCCTAAATGTATCCATTCTTTTGCTCTCTTTCAAAACTCCTGCCCCAATAATCTGAAACCTCCATCCCTAACCACCTTTCACATCCAAGGTTAAAGAAGCTCTCTGGAACTTCTGTTTGTTTGCATTTTCTACATCTGCAGAGAGAAGGGATTGTATCACCTGAGCGATGCCTTAAACACGCAGAAAAGAAGTAACACCTTTATAATGAAAAGGTGAGCCTTCTAGGGAGAGAGGTCACATCCTAGTAGTGATGTGCAAAGAAATGCTAAAGCCTCATTACTACTCACAGCTGTAGGGAGATCTCCTTCAACTCAGCTGATAATTATGTGGAACAAAAGGACCAGGACAACTAAGGCAATTTGCCTGAAACCAGGAGCAGGAAAGTAATCTTTCCTCTAACAGTATCACGGATATTCACAGTTGGCTACAGTATTCTTACAACTTAATTCTCCAGCATGAGCCCATCTTTTAAACAAAACCAAAAAATCTCCCTATTACCTTTTTTTCTCCCAACTCCTCAGGAAGTTTTCCACCCTATTCATTTTTTTCATTTTAACTTTTCAAAATGTGTTTTAGCTCTCATGACTTGTTTTTCCAATTTTTATAAACTTTGCTCCAACTTGATGACTAATGGAAAAATGTTTGTATGGAAAAATTGAGAACATGATGCATCAGATTCCATAACTCCCAGAAAAACTTTTACATAAGATTATTGATCTATATTACTTTCTTATTCCTATATTCATTAATTTTAAAATGTGATTAGGGTTATGAATCTGTTTTCTAATTGGACTAAACGCACTGAAACACTTTCCTTTCAATCTAGATTTTAAAGACATTAATATTTAATGCTTGGGCAAAAAGAGCCATGCTCATTATATGTCCTTTCCTTGTTTCTTGCTACTAGCTAAAATTCTGGTTATTTATCCTCCTGATTTCCTTTTCCTTTATTCCTCTGAAATAGAAGACCTGTACTCCAGTACTCAAATTAAAAGGCAAGAAGTTAGCATCTCTGTTTTTTCCACCTCTGGCAATGCAAAAAAAGCTTATTCTGCTGACTGGTATAAATTACTACTTGCTCCTGCAAGGATAACTCCTCAGACTTCTAGACACCACTTCATAGTCCTCTGTTATACCAAGAGCAAATGTGCTTAAGAGCACCTACAACAATGAAGTGCTCCCAGCACAGATTCAGTAAACACACCCCAGGGATTTTCAGTTGGATGGCTCAAGCTTAAGATCACAAAATTAGGGCCTAATGATGTTATTAATAATGAAGCATTGATATTCTCATTCTCATTCTGAATTAGGATTTATGGCAGTGTGAGCAAAACCCAGTATAAATTACATCTGAAGTTATCAATAGCTGCAGAAGTGAAAAAGTGCAGGCATAGCTCCTTCACCACTGGAAGGCTTACCAGGAACGTTGTCTACTCCATATAAAACGTGTAAAATAGCACATATGTGACTAGAAACAGGTAATAGTGATGGTGTGATTTTTCTTTCTTTGCTAATGACCTACATGTGTTGTTTTGCTTAAGGTATTCAACAATTTATTCTCTGTATTTCAGGAAACCCACGCTGAGCTGACGCAGTATCTAATGTTTCAACACTGCAATACACTTTTTCTTCCTTAGCCTTTCCCATACAGGGTTCACAATGATGTGTAGGATACATTAGTTATGCCTCTGCTACTGTCCTGCTTTTGTGTGGAAAACAGAAATGAAAAGAGTTTTGCAAACCACTCAGCTCATCCATGGCCATGATGGAATTCAGTGCAGGTCTCTACCTTCCAACACTCTGCTTTAGCCGAGTTTGCCTTGTTCTTCACAAGGGATGGCTTCTTCCAGCAAACAAACACTGTCCCTGCTCAACCTACCATAAACATTATTAAATATATATATATATATATGTATTTGGACTCTAAAGTCCATCTTTTTGCAGTTTTTCCTGTTTTGGTTTTTTCTGGTTTGTCTGGGAAACAGTATTTTTTTGCTTTGCAGAGTCTGAATAGGGAGCTGCACCTGTTAGCTCTGCGATACCTTAGGGCTCTCTAGTCAACCATCTGCTTTTCAAAATCTATTTGTTCTCTCTTGGGCAACAAAGAAGGAATAAAGTATGTGTTATCACCTCAATGCTGAAAGTGATCATTTACACTAGAAAAATATACCATGCCAGGTAGAATTTTGACTAAGGAAAAAAGAGGAAAATTTCTGGTGGAAGGCAGGGACAGGCAAGAGGAGCTAAAAGAGTGACGGGGGGTAAACTGAGAGGAGAGGAACAGGAATGAAAATCACTTGCTTCCAGCAAAAATTGACTTGATATGCTCTACTGTGACCCAGGGACTTTGTATTACTTATTTCTATAACATGCCTTTATATATCTGCAGAAATAAAAAGATAAGATTAGACAATCTAAAGTGAAAAAAGCTTTTTTCCCCAGACATTTTTAAGTGACTGCTGGTCTTGAGTTAGGGTTTGAAACACGTTTCAATGGAATGAAGTATCCTAGTACCACCCAAGGAACAGTCCTGGGCTTTGCATGCTTTTTCCAGTAAGAGCAGACCAATGGCTGATTCATACCTCCATTATATCACAATTGTGCTTTTATTTGGCACCCTCTCATCTCTTGCAAGTCACTTGCAGATGGTCTAGAAGCCACAGAACAAGCTGTGCTTCCTTTCCATGTCAGCCCATTGCTATCTTATGGAATCCTTCCAGTTTGCTGCACACAAGGTACAAGGATACTCCTCCACAGATACCTCTCCTGACTTCAGAAATCCCCACTCTCTATAGGATTCTGTAGCTAGCCTTTCCATTAGCAGAAATAAAGAAATGATTTGCACTGCTTCCATCCCCCATAGCTCGATGAGTTCACAGAAGCCAACACAGGAAAGGAAATGGAGGGATTTAGTGGGGCTGTTCAGGGTCTCACACTGAACAACTGGGTGTCCAAAGGAAATACATCTGACACTTCCATAATGTGGTTATATAAGTCATGCCATCACTTTGGGTTTTGTAGTCAGTGCTGATCACCCCGTCAAATAGGACAAAGGAGAAACAAAAAGGGTTCAGAGCGTAAAAGACTCATTAGAACCCTCAAGAGCTTTTTCTATGAAAAAGGTTTAGAAAGTGTCAAAATGACAAAGAAAACAAAGAAGACTGAATGTAGTGGAAGTGATATAACTACACAGAAAAAGTAAATCTGATGTCCCAAGACAAGAGGGGACAGTCACTAAAAGGCAGAACACTAAAACCAATAAAAGGAATTTTAGTTCACATGCTATGTAATAAACTTGCAGTACTCTGTACTCAAAAGCCCAGATGAACCAACATTTTATCAGTTTTAAAAGGACTAAATATTGCAATAATAATAAGAAAGGCCTTTATAATAAAAAAGATAACTACTAATAATAACTAATAATAAATATAACAGTTAGCATAATACTGAATAAACAGAATATCCACAATTATGGCACAATAAACTATGAGGACTGAAAACTGCCCGTGTTTAAAGACATAAGTTGATTTTAATTAATGAAAAATTACCCCTGTATTAAAAGTTAAAGCACCATTATTCTTTACGGAAAACTTGGCAATGTTTTTCTGAAGGATCTGATACTGGGTTCTGTGATGCTTTCTGTGTGGATTTCCAGAGCTGTGTCTCCAACACATATATGCCCCCATCAATCAAGTATTCAGCTTGCTCACCACTGCTGAACATGGTCAGTATAATCATGATAATCCCCCTGTAAAATCAAAGGAACATGTCTGCTCTTCAGGAATACTGGCTATTCTCATTAACTTGTGAGAAGTGAGATTGTTTTAGCCACTACTTTTAATGCATATGATGAAGTGGGGAGAAGAAATAAGGGACAGCATTCTGTAGGTTTGATAAAAAATGGCAGTGCTGCAGTTTTATTTGATGATTAAAATGTGAGTAAGAGTCATATTTAAGGACAAAGTATTCTTAACGACTTATATATTCCATACCCTTTTTCAGTATTAGAAAATAAAGTTTGCATGTAGAATAAACAAAAATAAAATCCTCCATAAATTTGAGCCAGCTCCTGAAGAGTCAAATGAGCCTCCAGTGTTACAGAATTCTGTTAAGAGTTTTGTATCTGATGTATAATTTTGAGTTTAAAAGAACCTTTTCCCTTTAAACAGCTGTCTACTTAAAAAAAAAAAAAAAAGAAAGTGGAAACTCAGGTATATTGGAAACTCACCCATTAAACTTAGCTAAAAGCAGTGAAGTTTGTGAGGGAAAGGAGTAGGAAACAGGTAGGCAAACTGCAGACAGGAGGAAACAGCAGGTTCCCAAACACCTCATTTCCCTGGGGAGCCACATCTAGGGAAGCCCTGGGGATGCAGGCAGTCTCTAGGAGCCCCTTACAAAAAGTTCCTTCCCTGTAGCATCTCACAAGCCTTCCTCCAGTGAAATCAGCGTGGCAATACAAGCACATACAGGCAGTAAGTTCCCACCCCACAACAAACCGATGTGTTCACTTAGAGGCAAGCCAGCACCCATTGAAACAAAACAAAACCGGGCCATATACTTTTTCCCAGCTTGTTCTTTTTCCTTGTCCGGTGATACCTCTGTGCTGACAGAAAAGCAAACACTGCAGCCTGCCTAAAAGACTATCCTCACTTCCCCAACTTTCAGACGAAATATAGCTGTGAAACCAAAAGAGCAGTTCTCTCAGAGACAGAGAAAAGTAGCAGTCCTGTAAACGACGGCAATCTAAAGCTTTAGAAGAAATATAGGCAGCAATGCACACATCCTTACCTGTACAAGTCTGCACCATCAGCCTTTGAGAAGTTTTTTTACATCTACTCTCTAACGATGCATTTTTTGAAAACGGTTCTAGTGCTCAGGAATGCCAAGAATTTAGGAAGAGAGCCACAGCTTAAGAGAGCAATTATTTGCCAGTAAATACTCAATTTGCTTGTCCTGTGATTTTTCTTCTCCTAACTCGCCCTCTCCATAATCCGTCTCTTGCTGCGTCATGAGCACAAGAAGTCTTTTCTTCATAGCAAAACACTTCAGTTTGCTATTTTGTTAGCATTAATTAAGAATTCCCTCTACTGGTCATTTTCTATACTCTTACAAATAGCACCTTGAGCCCCGGACATTAGAAGGCAGTGAGTCAGTGTGTGGGATTCAGCCACCATTTATAAACACCTTCAACCACATTCACCCAGTTTACAATATTCAGGACATCTCAGCTGAATTACTGCTTTGTGTCCAGTTTGTATTCAGATGGGGGCCATATGTTCCTTCATGTATTAGAGCAGAGCTCATTAGCACTGCTCCAGTCACGCCACAGAAAACATTTTTTTTTTTTTCTATCTTGCCTCCATTTTAACCTGATTAAAAACATTTTCTCCAGGGTAGGTTTCTGGAAAGGAACTGCTCAAATCTAAAGTTCTGTTAAAAAGGATATGTGTAATTTTAAAATTAGTTTTGTATTAAAGTTTGCTGCAAAAAACTCAGTTGTTACTTAGATTAAACTGCTTACTAAAAGCATCTTTTAAAAATATGGGAAAGTCTTCACAAAAACTCTGTTGCAGTAACCACAAGGGCTAAATATTCAGTGAGCATACAGACCTAGCTCTCCCATAAGGATTTAGGCATACAGCCTATTTTTAAAGAGGGTATGTATGTATGCATCTGTGCAAGCACCATCATACAACTAGATTAACACCTTGCAATGATGGGGAGAGTGGGTGTAGTCAGAAATCTGGATGTGCAAATCGTATTTCCTAAGAAATTTTGTGTAGGCAAGTCCCATTCTGCTCAATCAACAGTAGGCAGAGAAACACTATATTTGGAAAAAATTCATAAAATACAGAAGGAGTGACTTGAATCATGCACATTAATTGCTAAATGAAAATCTAGGTTCTGAAATACAAAACAGGAACACCCATATTGGGAGCAGAAGAAAAAAAAAAATTACACACCTGGGATTGAGCAGTATGATAAAGAATCCCCTTGAATCCATTTTAGGACAGAAATGCATCATCTGTTAAAATCACCTTGGGCCTGGCTACTTCGTACCTGAGTGAAAACAACTTTTGGGCCCCAAATTGAAGATTAACATCACACCATAAAAGCTTCACTGCATTTAGGACTGTGTGCATTTCATATGATGCAGTGATATTGTAGAAAACCATGGAAGTCCCACAAATCCACACCATAGTATGATAAAATGTGTTAACAATTCCTCACATACAAATAAGCGTTTCAAAACAACATGTTCAGAGCATAAAACTACATCAGAGGCATCAAACAACCCCTAATAAAATGCATTTATGTCATGTATATCCTACATATCTACTGCTAAGAAGCAGACAAGTTAGAAACATACTGAAACCACTCAATCATCTGTGTACGCACACATATTGTACACACTCTCCTACAGTGCCATATGCCCAAACCAATTGTGAGTTGATGTTAAAAACTATTTAACTTTTCTCCCCAAACACCTCAGTCAAACAGCAACCAAACAGCAGGACTCATAGGGTCCTTTTTCTGGGGCACTAATCATCTCCTCCACAAAAGACAGCACTCTCAAAATCCAAAATAAGATGGGGACACTAACGGCATGTGAAAGGTGAAAAAGCCACTTAAAGAGCACTTCTCCCTTCTTCTCTAAAACTGATTTTGCTCTGACAGCTCCAAAAATAGTGGATAAATGATTTATCCCATGGCTAATATACCTACCTACACAAGTGCCTTGGAAACAAGAGAACTTCCAAGAGCCTGGGCAGGGCCCATCCTGGGTGCTTTGAAGCAGCCAACAGTTCACACAGGTCTCACAGTGGACCTGTTCCCTGGTGCTCACTTGTGAGGGAAATACACTGAACTTCAG